GCGAGCCAGCGGGCCGGTGCTGTCGTCGGGGCCTGGGCGCCGGGCGTCGGAGGGGCAGGGCGGCTGCCGCGGAGGCGGCGCGCGGGCTGGCTGCAGAACAGCTTTACTTCTTATATTTTGTTTTGATACTTTTCTGCTGGATGGTTAAGACCAAGGTAAAGCAGGACCTATGCCACAAGAGTTGTAGCTTTTGGGTCTGATAAGGTCAGTGAAATACCCTCAGGATTTATCCTGAGATCCTGTACCTCAGATTGTAGAGCCTTTGTCAGTGTCAGCCTGTGGATGAGTCATGGCCATTGCTTGGCCACACATTGAATCTTGAACCTGCTGTGTACTAACTGTTGGGAGTGAGAAAAGCCAAGTGGAACTGAAATTATCCTTTTCTCTGGTCAAGATCATACATGCAATCAATATCTGGCAGGAATGGTAGAGATTTGAAGTAACTTACAAGACCCGAATGATATAACATCCCTGTTGTCTGCAGCAGCCTGACCATAACTTGTTGGATTCTGATGGAAAGTAGTGGACATTTAACCATGGTAAATTCAGGCCACCTGACCTGCTGAAGTTTGTTAGATGTGATTGGAAGACATAATCTTGACCCAAGCACATCATGTGCAACTGGAAATCATCATCTCCAGCAATGACTGCAGGTCCTTGGCAGAAACACCAGACTGGCAACATCTTGAAACCTATTCCATGTGTACACAACAGGCCATTTCCAAATCTTGCTCAATAGAAAATCTCCATATCACAAGTCAGACAATGGCATTCAACATTTGCATTCCTAACATGGAACAGAAACTCTTCTGTGTGTTGGCTTTGAGAGATCTGCCCTGTTTCTCTTCTAAGGTGTTTTATCCCAAGAGCTCCCTAGATTTGTGATGGATCAGTTTGTTTGGCAGTAAAACTTTTTTATTCAGGCATCAAATTTTGGCCTAAAGTTCTTATTTTTATTTCATCACCAAATATAAAACCCATCATGACTATTGAAGCAGATATGCTATTCTTATTGGCAGAAGACTGACATAGTCTCTAGTAGATAATATATGAATGCCAGTCTGGCAATTGTGAAATGAAGCAAAGTCAGCTTGGACATTCTGAAGAATGTCACATTGATTTGCTGTATTAGTGACAACATAGTAATTGAACTAGATGAACAAAGAAAAGCTGAGAAGTGTTGGTTTGCTATGTGTCCAGGAACCTGGACATAAATCCTATGAAGATACAGCATTCTTCTACAAGAAAAATTTTTGATTTTCAGTGGTCAAAGGCATATTGGAATGCATCTTCTGTAGAGTAACAGGTGGTTTTTGCATCTCCTAGTAGAAGTGACATAATGCTTGGTGGATTCTCTTAGTTCTTCAGGTGACACATGCCACATTGGGTAATGCTAGCTTGATCCAGTTATTGAGAATAAAGAAAGTTGACAATTTCTAGTGGGGCCCAGAGCATGAAAAGACTGTGAAGCAGATCCAGACTGTATTGTAAGAAGCCTACTGGTTGAATCATCCATGCTGGTAGATGCAATAGAGCTAGCAATTGGCAGCCAGTGACAGAGACTGACTGATGGAAAATAGCCATTAATTCTGATACTTGGCTATTTAATACCTCATTGGTACCCTGAGCCTGATACCACCATAAGCACATGGCTTAGTAGGCAGAGCTCCAGCCTTGTCCTAGATCCCACTCTCCATGCCTTTGTGAGGGATCTCCCTCAGAGATGTTTTCCTGTCAGTAGTAAGGAAAGTGGAAAGCTCAGGTGTGCTGACTCGTAATAGAAAAATGTTAATAGTCTTGATATGGCTCATCCAGTGAGTCATTCATTTCTGCCGTCACCAGGGGCTCACTGAGACTTCTTTGGGAATGGCCACTGTGGCACTGAGGTGTCTTGGAAAACTAGGCACTTCCATTCTCATAGTACTCAGGCTTGGTGTCGGTGTAAGAGGAAGGGAAAGTGGAAGAGAGTCAATAGATAATTACAACATTGTGGGATAAGTGGGCATAAGTGTAGGATATTGGGTAAACTTGGAGGAGGCTCCCCTGATCCAGGATGAGGAGGTGAGGTGGTGGGGGGAGATAGGTGGAGCAAACTAGGGGAGCTTGATGTGGTTCTGAGAGGCTAGCACCAAGGTGGGGATGGTTTGCTGGGAGGATAGTCCTTAGGCTCTAGAGTCCTTCCTATTAGTAGCTCCTGCTGTCAGGCAGCTGTCCCTTGAGCTGTAGCAGTGGGTCAGGGCCTGGCCCATTTCATTAGGGTGGTTTGTTTCCAGATTCATCTCCTAAGCCCTATTAAGTCTCTTACTTAGTGAGGAAGCAGCAAATCAAGATGACATTTCAAAAACGGTGGCTTGGCTTGTTCCTGGAGGAACAGCTAAATCCTCACCCATATTAAATACCCTCTCAACAGCAGTGGCTGGGCCATTTAGGAAAATTAAAAGGTAAGAGAGGAACACAGAGTGGGGAGATTAAAAACAAGTGTAATAGTGTTTCCAGTCCTGTGGCAATTAAGAGACCTCACATATGGCCTTTTCAGTTTATCCTTCTCTTGGCTTATCCTGCATCTGCATCCATTCAGGGGTTGGTCATTATGAAAGTGGTTTTGCAAAGAGGTACTCGGGTTTCCAGCTCTCTATCATTAGGCCAGCCCAGGTACTTGGCTGATGGCCCAAAACTGCGTGTCTCATAGCACATGTGCTCCAGAGACTTTGTACTGAGAAAAATCACCCTGTAGAGAGATTTCTACACGGCAGTGGATTTCAAGGTCTGTGTTTACTCAAGTAAAGATAATGCATGGCAAAGGGACTGGCTGACAAGACAGTTCACCTCTACTGTTGATCAAATGGTGCTAACACAGAAGAACAGCATAGTGCCATTTTAGCTCATTGGATTAAAAAGCTAAAGAGAACACAACACTGCCTAGGGTGTAGTAAGCAGGGCATCAGTGTGCATTACTGTTGCAAGTACAGGAAGATGCTAATATTTTGGGTAGCATTTAGCCCACCTGTGTCAATAATATTCTTTTTTTTTTTTTTTTTTCAGAACCGGGGATTGAACTCAGGCCCTTACACCTGCCAGGCAAGCACTTATTCTACTGAGCTATCTCCCTGGCTCCTTGTGTCAGTATTTTTAATGTGTATTAAAAACTCAAAAAATGTTGCAAAAGTTGGTATACTAATTCTGCTTCTAAAAATAATTACCAGAAATATGGACAAGGAATTGGGCAAGAGGGACCGGGAAGATAGCTCAGTTGAATAAGTGCTTGCCTGGCAAGTGCAAGGGCCTGAGTTCAATCCCTGGTTCCAAAAAAAAAAAAAAAAAAAAAAAAGGAACTGGGCAAGAATATGCATATTACAATGTAATTTCTAGTATTAAAAAAGAGAAGCAAGGCTTGGAGTGCCTGTCATTCTGGTCTTCTGAATATGGGCTGCTTGCCATGACATGCCAGTTGCTGCTATGATGTCTCTTGGGTAGATGGTTGTTCAAAAAGAAGGGGGTGGTGAATGAAAGCAAGAGACAGGAAAAGGAAT